TTAAAAAAGAAAAAAAATTATTATTATTATTATTTTTACTATAATATGTCGGTTCTTTGAAAGTAATTTTTTTAAATAAAAAAAACAACCATTTAAAAGGAATGAATTGCGTAAAAAAAAATTTTTTAATAATAATAATAATAATAAACGCGTAATAATTATTAATAATAATAATAATAAAAAGTCATTCGTCGTGATACTTTTTTTTTAAAAAAAATTTTACGACCGTAAAAAAAAAAATTTAAATTTCGTTATATATACCAAATACCGTCGTATTAATAATTTAATCTAAATTTATATATTTGTAACATATTAAATAATAATAATAATAATAATGATGATGATGATGATGAAAGATTATAAAAAAACAGAAAGAAAAAATTTATCATTTTTTTAACATCTTCCACGTTAATTTTATTTATTTTTTGTAACGTTGTCATCAGGTAACATCCTCGAGATATATTCTTAAAATTAGCAGAAGAAAAAAAAAAAAAAAATGGAGTCATATGTATATCGATAACGGAAAAATATTTTCGTTAGCGTGCATGAAAAAAAAAAAAAAACAATTTGGTAACACAGTTATTTGCACACAAAAATTGTGAAAGCAAAGATTTTGTAAACGTTCTTCGTTCGGCAACAACAACAACAACAACAACCGAATAAAACAAAAAAAAAAAAAAAAAACTTTCACAAAATTCCATAACGAATTTATATATATATTTTATTTATAATAAAATAAATTCGTTATTATCATTACTTATTTATTTAAATAAAATTTTATTTTACGTTTATAACATTGTCATCGTACGATAGTTACCTGAACCTTTATTTTCATTCATCGAATAATAATAATAATGTGATTCACACACGTCATATTTAAAATTTAATTAATCCGATTTGAATTTTATTTCAATAAAGTAGAGAAAACGTTTTGTGCGCAAACACACAAATATAAATGGCGCGCATGGATTTGTCATTAAAAACTAGTAAAAAAAAAAAAAATTTTTAAATAGTTAATAAACTTCGTATAACGAACGATGGTCACTCGCGGTTACCCGTATCAAACTGAATCATTGGGGGCCTTAGCAAAGTAGATTAGCCTCTCTTTCTCTCTCTCTCTCTCTCTCTCTCTCTCTCTCACTCACTCACTCACTCACTCACTCTTTATATTTCCCCCACTTAAATAAGTTAAGTTTTATTCTTTAAAGAGTAATTTCTTGCGTGATGTATATATAAATCTATAAAAAAAAAATATGTCCGTTAACGGTTTTTTTTTTTTCTGTACGGTGACTTTGTATTAAATTAAAACGGAAGCTTTCTAAATTTTTGAATAATGTAACGTAAAAAAAAAAAAAAAAAATAATGTCAAATCAATAAAATCTCTTATTTGTTAATGTTATATATATATATTTTGCATAAACGTCATGTGGTGTGCGTGTGGTGCGTGTGTACATTTGGGTGCGCATATGTTTTTAAAACAACGACATTCGAAATGTAATTTTAACTTTTTTTAATTTATTATTAAATGAAATATGGTACTTTGCACACACATCCACTCACACACCTGTCGATTAGTATTATTATTATTATTATTATTAATAAGAATTATGTCGAACGATAAATAAACTTATTGATTTGTTGTAAACACACACGAGTTAAAATTATTTTTATTATTATTATTACACGTTTTAGTAATTTTATATAGGTATATAAAAATGGATGAATTTTTTTTTTTTTTTAGAATCGTTAATAAATCTATTATCATTATCATTATTATTATTATTATTATTTCGTTTTAAATTGAAATGTCAAAAAAAAAAAATTTAATTCTTTGTGTGTATTATTGATTGGGTAAGCAAATTAAAATGCTTATTACGAAAAATATTTAAGTCTGAGAAAAAATATAATTTTTTGCAATATCGTCAAACGTACCTGAAAATTATTTAAAAAAAAAAAAAATGTTTATAAATAAATTAAAAATTTTATATTAGTAATAATAATAATAATGATAAAAACCCATTACATGAAATTTGTTTTAATTTTAAGTCATTTTAAGGTACACACACAGACACACAGACAACAAATTTTTAAAAAATATTAAAAAATTAAAAAGTATTAAAAAATTTTCGAAATAAATTCTAAATTTAATGTGTAAAAATTATTATTATTATTATTATTATTATTATTATTATTATGGTCCACCATTAAACACGACAAGGCTACTTGTCGGAGTTTTTTTTTTTAAGTATTTATCCGAGGATTCTACCCGATTCCTTAGGGATAAATACTCGAATTTCGGTGGTGCCACTTATTATAAGATAGCACCACATCAATTCTTGAAGGTCTTCCTGAGTCCGTCTTATTCGATGGGAACGATTTGTCTCCTGAACTGGGCTCCAGTGACTAACATCTTTGGAGTGGCCAGGTCAGAAGCAGTGAAATTCACATTCTCGTCGAGCTGCCTCAGGTCGACCGTAGAACAAGATTTTTGTTTTTGGTTCTTACTTTGTCTTGTTCTCATTTTTTTTTTTTTTTGCTCTTTTTTAAGCCAACAGCACGTGGCGCTCTCAAACGGTCACCCATCCAAGTTTGCACCACGCCCGATGCTGCTTAACTTCGGTGATCGTACGGGAACCGGTGTGACCAGCACGCTATGGCCGTTGGCTTATTATTATTATTATTATTATTATTATTATTATTATTATA